AAACTGTATATTATAATTCAAATTTTAGAACTATACATTACTCAATTTGTTAATTTAAAAGTAAATATTAAAAAAAACAGATCAACATCGTTTTTTGTGTGTCACGTGGTATGATTAGATGCTTGTGAAATCAAAATACTACGTCTATAGTTTCATACGAATTAGGAACTCAAACTACAGATATTGACAAGCAAGAATATAAAATAAGAAGGTCTTATCTTTTCTATTTGCTAAGATATTGCTTACATAATAAATAAAACACAGTGGCATCCCCACCCACCTCTTTCCATTCTTGGAAATGCTCCCTTATATACACTTACTTCTATATATGACATGAATAACCAATCAGAAGCTAAGAATGTCCCCTAGTGGTTTTCTCAGCCTTTCTAATGTATCTAGTGCCATTACTTTCTTTTGAATCAAGATTTCAATGAGGTAGGTTGTGTCTTTAGTCTGCTTGAAATTTCATATTTTTTTTAGACCCAAATACAGCTTAGTTACTAAGTTTGATAAATTATATTAGAATTCTATGGTATTGGTGTAGTAATTTATGATTTTTTAGTTATTCAAAAGTATATATAAAAGCTAAAAAAATATTTTGTTTTATATTCTCCACGTGCAAATTTTTAAAGGCTTAGCAACCTAAGTCAAGCAGCAATCGAGTACAAAGGTCGTAACCATAAGTGATAATTGTTTGCTTTACTTCTTTATTTATTGTTCTATGTTTTAGGAAAATAACTTTAAGAACTTATTTCAAAATAGCAATAAACTATATACGTATATAATGTATAATAATTGAAATGTGAGTGTATTTTACAAAATACTAGTCGAGTACAACATAGCCAATACAAGATACTTTGTGCAGACCAAAGGTCACCTTTATGTTATTTGATACGGTAACATGAGCGCACTTGAGCCACGTCATTGTAACTTTTATATTGTTAGCCAGGCACAGGTGAAAGGTCAATATAATAAAAATAATAAATATATATAAATGTATAATGTTATGAGATTTAAGTTATTTCGTCTAAACATTTATGTTTTCGTGTTATCATTTGTATTTATTCTAAATTAAAAGAGGCATAATTTATGTTTATTTCCTAATTTTTTATGGTGGTTGGTCAAATTTAACCAAACCTGTACAGAAATTAATTACTGAAAATAACAGATAAGATATAAAGTTTTTTCTTAAGAAATGTTTGATAACTATTTGGACATTATAAAAATTTGCATGTGAAATTTCAAAATTTTCTGATGCATAACAGTATTTTCAATCTTAAAATGAAAATTACTTTGCATGATAGATAGGCAAGATGTGAAAAGAAAAAAAAAAGGCATGAGGGAAACACTGCTTTACAAACCTTAAGACTTGATAAAAAAATTTGATATTTTGCAAATGCAAGCATTGTAATGTTTACTGATAAACTGCCAAATGTCGTTAACATTCGCTTACTAATTTAAAAGTTATAGCATGAAAACTATAACAAGCATAAAATGGTTATGAGGTCAGTCCCAGGGACCGAGCTTGGATTGAAAGAGTTAAAGAGGCCATCAATTAGGAAATATCATTTATCACTCAGTTCTAGAGATTATTACATGGATCTTCACTAAATTTGGTAAGCCTTTAACCCTCTCTTCATGGGCATCCTTTTCTGCGTATATCACGAAGTTTTTAGTGACATTCAAACTTCAATTAAACTGCGTCCTGTATAAGTTGTACTGATTAATATAGCATAAAACCATAGTTAATATATTTTAATAGTATATTGGTTTTAAGTTCTTAAGTCAATGAAAAAAATATTTTTCTCCAGGCATCCCCTCTTCTCTGATATATTCACCACCCCTCCAATAAGTACACAATTTAACATAAATTACTCACTATAAAATTGTCAACACTTAGACAAAGCATAATTTTTATAGCCTTCAATCTTATTTGGTTACAGATCCGTAAAATAGAAAATCAGCCCCCTCCTGCCACACCCACCTGTCACATCGTTTCTTTCAGGATTTGTTAATAGTTCTCTCTTACATTTAATATTATATTATTTATAACCAATAGAAAGCCAAGGTTTTCATCTATCAAATTACATATTGTATTACATTGCTTTCTGTACAGAAAAATGATAATTTTTCTTTCAGTATAAGCTTCACTCTCACAGGAAATACATTGGATGAAAAAATAATATTCAACATTAAACTGGTACACAATTAAAAACATTTTATTTAGGCCTATCTATGGCCTTCAAAAAGTTGATGGCTCTACATGTTTTGACGTTACAACATCATCATATAACATTGAAACATGTAGAGTCATCAGCTTTTTGAAGGCCATACATAGGCCTAAATAAAATGTTTTTAATTGTGTACCAGTTTAATGTTGAAGGTGCCAAAATACTATAACATCAGATGAATTTGGAACAGCTCTTGCTGCATAGTTAGAAAGCCAAAAAAATTGTGAAAGTTATGGGATATTGTCTACTTTTTGCATGTTATTATTCTATGTTCATTGGTGCATTATTTGATTAAATAAAAATTATTTAGTGCATAACTACCATTAGTATAAAAAAGTAAGTTAAGTGTCACTGACAGTCAAGAGCAAAAAGAGAAGGTCCAGGTAAGTACTTTCTTTCTGTTTTCATGTGTATTCTTTATTTATTATTATAAAAGTAACTAAAATGTAAAAATAGGAATATTTTTAGGTTAGGGTTAGATTACATAAAATAAATAACCACACTATTCATGAGGCATACACGCAAGTGAGCAGCTTATGGATAATGTAGTTCAATAGCATAATGTGAGCCCCATGTAACCCAAATGATTTACAACTTATAATGGCACGAATAATGTTAGAAATGTTCAAATAACAATAAAACAAACATTTGAAATGTATTTAAGAGGTTTTAAGAGATTATGCAAATAAAATTTGAGATTTTTGAGATGAAGAAAAGTATTTTTAATCTTAACAAATTTAAAGCTGTTCTTTGGAAAGGGCACAAAAAGTCTAAAACAACTCCAATCACATTTTTAATATTCAAGACTCCTTGGAGTTGTGCTGAAATATAAATTTGAATTTTTTTTTCTTTTTTCTTCACGAATTACACTAAATAAATTATACAAAATGACAAAATATTCACTCTAAAATATTTTTAAGGTAAAAATTGTTGAAATAGAATTAGAATTATTGTTTTTACTTTAATTTTAAAATTTGACATGCATATGTTCTCTGAACACTTATAAAGTACTCACCAGTCCAAGTAGGGTTGCAGAAAAATGTGGAACTTGAAAGTATTTTGTCATAATTATAACTCAAACTTTAGTGTGCAAAAAGTGATGTTAAGATTCTTTGCAATCATTAGTTTTCTTTTTGATTTTCATTTGTCAATAAAGGTAAAATTTATATCAGCAACATATAAAATTGACTTAACATATTTTCACAAAAAACTTAATATGGTTTAAAAAATTAATTTTTCAAAAGTGATGGTAAAAAAATATGAAACCCTGTATAACATTTCACCAAATATAATGAATTGGATAATTACCAGCAGATAACATAACAGTGACTGATCAAGATCATGTGAAAATATTTTTTGAAAGTTGGTTACCATCCTGAATTATACTTAATTTCTGATTTGTGTTCTTTTATCCAAATATGCATCTTGTTATATTACTGTTCATTTCATAAGAAAATTCATGTTTTGACTAGATACTGCAATGTACATCATATTATACATGTACATATGACTGCTAGGTTCCTTGATGTTTTGTAAACATCACAACATTCTAACTTGGTCTCATCTGATGATGTAATAAGTGATGTAATGTTGGACACCCATAAAAGAAAATGTTTTTCATCACTAGGCTTCACCTTCCCTTTATACAGTAAAAGTGTGACTACTGCAACATACATACGTTATGTAATCTAAAAATGTTGAGAGTGGCTCCACTGCATGGTTTCTAATATGTTGGAATTCTATCACCAACTTTTCTCGAAGTTTGTCATCAATAACTGATACAGTTAGAGGACTAGCTTCATTTGCCAGGAAATTGCCATAGTCTGTGCTCTGCAGATGCAACTTGAGATCTACAAAAACAATTTAAACACAAAACATTTTAATTTTCATATAACCATTAACCCTCCATTGCTGTAGTTACTGTTATATGTATTATATGTTAAGTTAATATGTACAAATAAACACAAAAGTTATTATTTTCTAAATATCTTACAAAAATAGTTGTATCTCGCATGTAAATCATCATGCAACATCCCTCCACCAATAAGAGTGCGACACACCCTTCTTACACATGTGACTCCCTCTGTTCATTTCCACCAAACAATTACTCCGAGATGAGGCAGAAAAGAAAAGCACCTGTTTTCAGTGGAGAGGAAGGGTGGGAAGTGTGAGAGGAGGTAAGTACCTATCGGAAATATATTTTCAGTATAGGAAAATAATATCTTCCAATATAGTACATTACGTCCTCTCATATGTATAGCTAGAATCCCACACTGAATAGGAGGAGGGACTGGTGCAAGGGATAGAAAATAAGTAGTCTTCAGAAGGATCCAAAGAACACACATAAAGTGTGATCCCCCTAGGAAGAGGAACACATGTGGGATGCCACACCACTTCTGTACCAGCTATACTCTGCATCCGGTATGTAAATAGGTGTCGCATCCACAGGCGAAAAGTGGAATAAGCACAATTAAAAAGGGAGAGACAACCAATTGGGTCAGAATCAGAATCACAGTATAGCAGAAGCTCAATTGCATAGAAGAACCATCTACAGAGAGGAATGTGGGGAAGGCTAAAATGGAAATGCTCCAAGGTGTAGAGTAGCTAGGGCACAACATACTGTACATGGTTTGTCAACTCCAGTCCAAAACCAAGCAGTATAAGAAATACATCAAGTGGAACGGAAGGATATAATGTACAAAACAATCTACAAAACAGACACATATGCACAAATCCACAATCAACCACACATCTAGGAACCTGAAACTTGAATGATATAGTGGAAAAAATAGTTAGGTAGATTTGATTAGTAATTCGCAAATATTGCTGAGCACCTTTTTAACATTCATCATTTTAACACATTATGGCAACTAAATACAGCAATAAAAGTCTTAACTCTTTGTAAAGATATCAACTAATGAAAAGAGAGAAAATGGTTTGTTTTTATTTAAGGACAATTTTATTCAGCATCAAAACCTTATTATATGTAATTGTACCATACATGGCATTTCACGAACAAAATATTTTCTGGTATACAAAGTAAAACTGCAAGAAATACCAAACACCTCAGCTGTCAAAGTAATGCAACAATTGATTAACCAGAAAAAGAAATGACTTGAAGATATTCCAACTGAACAAGTTTGTTACAAATAATTTTTCAAATTAATCTAGTATTTTTCTTTTTTTGTGAAACCTCATCACTCTCTTCACAATGTAGTCTTCTTGGTTTTTTAAAGAAAAAAATTACCCCTCTAACCACAGGAATCCTTTACTGTGCATATTGTGAGGTTTTTAGTGAGTTACATCCCAAACTTAATTAAACTATTTTTTGTTCATGTTATACCAATTAGTATAGCATAAAATCATGGTTAATAATCCATATTTTAAGTTCTTAATTTTATATGCAATATTTAAAAAAATCCTGAATTTATCATCATGTGATAAACATTTTTTCTCTAGGCATCCCCTCTCATCTAATTTACTTACCACCCCTCCAAGAAATTTGAAGTTTAATGAAAATTACTTTTTATAATGTTGTCATCACTCAGACAAAGCATAATTTTTAGCCTTCAATTTTGTTTTGTTACAGAACCATCAAATAGAAAATCAGACCCCTCTTGCCACACCCATTTGTCACATCCTCTCTTTCAGGAGTTGTTAATAGTCCTCTCTCATGTTTAATACTATATTACTTATAGCCAATAGAAAGCCAAGGTTTTCATCTATCAAATGATATACTGTATTATGTTGTTTTCTGTACAAAAAAATGCTAATTTCTCTTTCAGTATAAGCTTCATTCTCACAGGAAACACATCGACTACCTTGGATGAATTTGTAACAGCTCTTGTTGCATAGTTAGAAAGCCAGAAAAATTGTTATAGTTATGGAATATTGTCTGCTTTTTGCATGTTATTATTTTATGTTCTTTGGTACATTATTTAATCAAATAATAAATATTTAGTGCACTACTACTAACAGTATGAAAAAAGTAGGGTTAAATTTCATTGATAGTCAACAGCAAAAAAAAGAAAGCCCAGGTAGGTACTATATTTCTTGTTTTTTATGTGTATTATTTATTTCTTATTATAAATGTAACTAACATGTAAAAATAGGGAACTCTTTAGGTTAGTTAAAGCTAGATTAGGTAAAATAAATAATAATAAAAAATTTTCATTAGGCATTACATGAGTAATGTAATTCAATAGTGTAATGTCAGCCCCATGTAATTTAACAATGGTGCGAATAGTAATTAGACACAGTTCAAAGGGCAATAAAACAATAAAATTTAAGTATAAATAGATGTATACTGTTATGAGTTTAAAGCTACTTAGGAGAAACAATTGTAGTTTCATGTTACAACTTGAAGTCATTCTAGAAAGAAAAAATGGTAATTTAGATTTATTTTTATTGCTTTTGGTGGTTATGACATTGGTCAAATTGACCAACTTTGTATTGAGTCAGGGTATAAAAAAACAGATAAAATATAAAGTTTTATTGAAGAAAAAACTATCAAATGTATTTAGGAGGGTTTAGAGCTTATGGAAATGACATTTAATAATTTTGAGATGAAGAAAAGTATTCTTAATCTTAACATGAAAATCATTTTGCACTTGGACTGGTAAAATAAAGACTTCAGTAAAAATACTTCATAAAAAAAACTAATTTTTTGTGTACAAACAACTTATAATGTTCACTGAAAGCCAATATACAAGTAAAAATTGTTAATGTGATCGGTCCTTGGGACCGAGCCCTTATTGAGAGAGTTCGTAACTGGCTCAGTGCTAAATGTGTTGTGCATGAACTGTAAGTAAGTAGTCTAGTCTAGTTGGCTAGGCTGCAGGTGCCAACTGGGTGCATTCCAAACATCCATGAACAGACTACTGCAAAATGTATATGTATGCAATATGCACATGACAAAATGTGAAAATACTGTATGTGCAGTTTGGCATGAATTTCCAAGAAATGAACATTGGCTTTGGTATATCAAACTGAAAAATAATGGCATTTTCACTGTGTTGTTGGAAGTCTCAAAGACAACATGCAAGAAAGGAATGATTCACATGTTATTCTAAGCAAAGAGGAAAGTGAATCGCATCTGAAGTTGTTTTGATTCACAAATTGAGATGAAAACCTGAATATTTTGTTTGCTGTGATGATAAAAAGAGATGTGCCCATGTAGCAGGCTACATCAAACTCAATCAGACTAGCTTCCCACTATGCAACATTAGCCCCATAAAATGAAAAAAAAAAACATGAGGTGGAGTGCACGATGAAGAACTGTCACTCCAATCAACATCACCCAATGGATAGGACCACACAAAAGCCGGAGCGGAACACCAACCCTCTGTGTCCCATTGGACAAAAGTGAATCACCTCTAGAAATATACAGCAACTTTACCCTCCAGATGGAACCACACAAAAGCTGGAGTGCAACATCAACCTCTTGGATCCATCGCGTGAAGGTGAAGCTTATGATTGAAAGATCATACACCAGCAGAACACCATCACCCTACTCTCTACTGAATGGAAGCCAACACATTCAGGATGGCTCCTCTAAGTTACACCAACCCAGCAGCCTGTAACTGGAAAGTGATAAGGACTCCCATACTCCAGTAGAATAACAAGGGGGGGATAAAACATGATGGAGAATCTGGAGGAACACCAACACCACCCCTGATTCATTAAACTTTTCATCCAGGTTGTAGGCAATTTATCAAAGTATAATGAGAAGAAAGATTGCAAAATGCAAAATAAAATGTGTAGTTCTGTTAGTACTGATCACAAAGTTCCAAACAACTTATGCTCAGAGTTTATACTTCTCACCTTTCCCACTTATTTTCTGCAGCTGTTATATTGTTAGCAGCTAACTTAGAAACTTGAAGAAACAAAAGAAATACTACTGCCGGGACTATTCAGTATGGACCACGAAATTCCAAAGTAAATCTCCTGAGAATTTCTACTTCTAATCTTTTCATATCTGTTTCCTATGTTTATTTTACTGTTAGCAGCTGAAGTAGAAATCTTTCGAATATAAAGAAAGGAATCGCCACTCTTGGCATTAGACTGCTTATGTGACACTGTACTTTTACACGGTCAATAGCAAATGAGCCCATGCAGCTCAATTCCTGGATTTTTCCCAGCCACAAAAACACAGTGGTTTAAGGTTTATCAGGTTGTTTGTAGTACAATGATTGCAACAAGCATTGTCTAAAGTACTATATAAAAGTGAGAGAAAATATGACTGTATACAAAGTCTGATCTGATCCAATAAATTGTTTAGCTATTTGAATTTTAGTTATCCTTCTGGGGTGATCGAGATTTAGCAGTATAGGAGTAAAAGTGTGTAAGAGCTTATGAACATCCTATTTCCTAATTTACGATAATTACACAGTAACCAATAAATGCTTAGTTTCCAGTAATATAAATACTTGCTTTACGACAGACCTCTTCCACAATCACATGTTACTTTCAGCTGCTTGTTTTCAAGAAAAAGCTTTCTCTCACACTATTGTTACAGTATACAGCCCCCTTCCTTTTTCATAAATAGTTAGCCCATCTTCAGTTAAGCCCAGCCAGTGCCCAGTTAGGTGCCAGATAGTGAAAGTGGTTTTTCTGGGGGCTCTCCTGTCCAACACACACACATCCATTCTACGCACTGGATCTATAGATCCTCCACCACCCTGAGGAACCATAAGTCCTATATCGGCTGTTGGTTTTTCTCAAACCATCCATGGTTTTCACAATACTTTTTGCTTGCTGCATAACTATCACTTTACTCTTCAAAATTATCAGGATTTCTTTTTTTCTACCACAGCTATTCCAAAACTTCTTGTCATAAGTTGGGGTGAAG